GGGAGGGGAGGGGGGAGGGAAGGAGGGGGAGAAGAAGGGAGGGGAGGGAGGCGGCAAGGACGATGACGATGCTGCCGGGGGTGGTGTGGGGGCCGTAACGGCCTAGTTTCGCGGTTTTTTTTTGGGTTTTGTTTTTATTTTGTTGTTTGGTTCTTTTGTTGTTCTGTCTTTTTGTAGTTTTTAGTTGTTTGTATTTCTTAGTTGTTTCCGTTCTTTAGTTTTTAGTTGTTTGTTTTTTTACTACTTCTAACACTGATATCCTCTGGTGCTTTGTAATTCGGTGGTGATTGGAATAGATCTTCATCTGCGGCAAAAACACACTTGAAAAGGATTGTTTCAATATGCGAAATGGTAAAAAAAAAGGTTTACGACCTGGCGTGATGGTTTCATAGAGCAAATTGCCGGCGCAGTGCCAGCATCTCAAGTTCCATGCGCTGATATATTGTTTAATAAATTGACAGGGTACCACGCACCAAGTGTTCTGCCAAATAATGAACGATTGCTGGATAAGGGGCTTCTTTAACTGCGTGGCGAGCGTGAGATGGCAGGATGATGGTCGTGTTCATTTTTTCGGGGGTCCTGAGGATCGCTGGATGTACGCTGTGCGAGTATTCAAGACTGCGTTCTCAACCTTGGGAGGCCAAGCGGCGAACGGATCAAGCGCCAGTATATTCCTCTGGCGAATCACACGGGTTTCGCATCGTGTGGCGACGATATGATATGATTTGATAGGACAGTGTTGGCTGCTTCCTGATAGGGAGAACCATGGTACGCAAGGAGTTGCTCGCATACTTCACGCATTCATAAGGGGGGACGAAAAAAAAATCTGCGTGCAGCTCATATACTGGCCATCTCCCGCGTACCATGGTTCTGTCCTCCCAGGCAGCAACATCAATATCGTCACCAACCACCATCGTCGAATCGATATCCAATCATCACCACCGAACTACAAACCACCAGAAGAAGGGGGAACGAAGCCAAGAAGGTATCTAATTGAAGAAACTATGTTATGCCGTCATCGCCACCTGAGATCGTGTCTTCTACCTTGTTTTTCGTGTTGTTTTGTACCTACCTAGGTAGGTAGTAATCGATTAAATACCTCACTGAAAAGAGAAAGGGCCCAAAATTGATTTTACAATGGTGGGCGGCATACACCACAAACAAAACCTTCAGATAGTCATCACCCACGGAGATCAGATTAGTGCAATCAAATCTGTTGACTGATAGAGATGTTTGATAGACTCAAGAAAAACCTGTCTACTTTGAAAAATCTATTTTACGGTATGAGTCACATGACCGTGGCTGCCTGTTCCATCCAGATGTCTTCATACACACGGCCCAATAAGATCGGGTTTGACACGGAACATTGTATAAATACCTCTCAATATCTAGATCTTCAACAAAACCTAGTTCCTCTCGACGATACTGCGCATTGCCGGACGACGCATACCATTGCTACCCATCCCATTACACAGCCACACTCGCCACCGTACTGCTCACCCGCCCTACCGCAACAATGGACGCCCTCACCTTTGGCCCCAAGGCCGCTTATCCTGGTTGTTTGAACATGGACGATCTCGCCATACTATACCCTCATAAGTTTCAGTTGCAACTGACCGCACCCCCAGGGTTTAACGCCGGTTACTTCGGTCGCTTGCCTCTAGAGTTAACGTACCAAGTTTTGGAACACGTACCAGTTCAATCATTAGTGCAATTCCGTAACGTCAGCGCCTCTGCGCGATACATTGTCGATACCATGCCAAAATTCGTTACGGTCATGCGCCACGCTCCGCAGATGATTTACGGTACCCTTCTCTTACAACCATCAACCTTCATCTCAATTTCCATTCTCGATTCCAAGTTACGTCAGCAGCATTGCGACATTTGTCCAGCTCGTTTGCTAGCGCCATATTTTTGGATACCGACTGCAACCCGTTTGTGTTATGGATGTCTTCTCAACAAGCCCACGCCAATCGAGCGGGAGGAAATGGCGCGTCACAAAATCACGGACTCTTGTGGTTTGCCAACATTCCGTTTTCCAGCTGCGGTACTTCGCGGCATCCGACCTGGATGCGGCCTCGTCGAGCGATCTACTTCAGGTGCGACCCTGTACGAGATGGCACGCAAAGATAATGGAATACTGCTAAGCGGGAAGCCTTCATGGGCTCAATGGGGTGTATCCGAGCATTATGACTGGTCACCCAAGAATACCCCAGGTTCCTACCCATATCATATGCTTTATAACCTGCAGAGGGCTCCAGAAACCCCAAATCGATCTCGGAGATGTATAGCGACTGTAGTTGTTCCATGGGTGCATGAAAACAAGACTGAGACTGGGGTCTTCTGTTTGACATGTTCAAATACAATGCGCCGTGATATGTACCACCGAGACGAATTCCCTGAACACTTGAGAATCTGCCGAGTACAACCAGGGCATATTATTGGTAACGGGGGACTCGCCGCTCTTTGGAGAGATACGCCTTATCAACACTACCACCTCCCAGCTTCCTATGTCGAAACAATGATTCATTGCGAGCATGGATCTATTGACAGGTAGGAGCTACAATGTCCATCTCGGATTGGACTTGTATTCCAGCGCAGATAGCTTGAAGGAATGGCCGTGTCAGCGATGAACTTACTGCGAAAATGTTAGCGTAACCTTGACCTTCAACAAACCAGCGGTACGCAGGTAGTCGGGCCATGCTACGGTATGTGAGAGGGGCAGTGCGCGCGTGTTTACTGGAGACACATATATGAACCGAGAGCGGCGCGGAGAACTGTCCACGGTTTTGGTGCGAGGGACAAAGGAGAATACGGTTGGTATGTGTGGCGTGTTCTTTTCCGGTCTAATCTGGTATCTTTGAGGCGGATGACGAAAGTTTCATGTAACTTTCTGAGGGTGGATTGGAATATATTTGATCGGGGTTTGCATTCGACTCTTGAGTTCGTAGCTGGGAACCAGGGTGAGTGGAATGTCCAGGATCTCAATTCAGTGGAATCGATATTTATTTCACCCATGTGTGTTCATGTTTTGCGCAAGTGATGCGATGATATTGATGGGAGTGTTCTGACGCGTCGTCCTTGTCTATAGTAAAATTGCCGCCGCCACAGGTCGAAACCAGAGTGTCCTGCCAATAAAATGAACCTCCTCGCTCTTCTCCTGCACCCCATCAGCAAAAGACTCCAGGTTGCGTGAGATTGTAGCGCGTCATTGACATCAGAGCGTTGACCACGGCATTTCAAGTGCGGGGGAATTTAGGTCCCTGAGGGATACGATCGGCGTTTTCTTGAGCCCAAACAGAGAGTAAAAAAGAAGGATGATATCGGCAGGAATAATAGGGTGGGTGTCTGAGTGTTCAAAAGGTCGCGTTGAAGGGATCAGAGATGAAGGTGGACCAATCTTAGCCATGAGGGTAGTTCGTGTCAAGTGTACGCCAAATCATGTCATCACCACACACGGCGGCCGTCTTGCAGGTCTATGTACTTGGATTACATAACCAGATCAAATGACCAAATCTCCAGATGTCCAAGTGCGTTGGAAAGGAAACGCCGGTCAGGAATCGAGGCCGGAAAAGAAAAAACAGATTTTTCGCCCCATCACGGCCTCCAAATGCTATTACAACACCATTTGCGGCATGCAGTCAAATGTTTCACGTATGATTGACTGTGGAGATACCCACATGTTGTGGTGGTCCCAGACGGCAGGTGTCATGATGAGTGCCTTCCGCGCGGCGATGTTTGAGTCAATGGAAAGGTGCGCGCACCTCCATTGCCTACGGCGGACGATAAGCGGGTGAGGGGACAAAACTCAAACGAAATTTTTTCCCCGCACAACCACCCCTCTATACAGTACTAAAACACCTTGTAGAACATCTGTGTAGCCTTAATAACTTATTAAATAATTATTTCCTGTTGTACAATATTATATTAGCATGCCTAGTTAGTATACAAACTACTTTTTAGATGTTATTACTTACATACAAGGGCAGGCAGTTGCTCTTTTATTAATTTAACTCTATATTAATTAGAGCTTTGCAGGCTCTTTTAAGAAAGCCTTATAATAAATTAGATTACTATGTATTTTTATAATACATATTAAATTAATGTTACTACTTATATAATTAAGTAGCAGTTTAAAGATTAGAATCTTTAGCACTAGCCTTTTACTTATGTTAAAAATGCTGCTAAAAAGTGTATTTAAGTCCTGTTCTTTAAAGTTAGACTTAATAATAAGAAGATACTTACTATATTATAGGCAAAGGGCTTTAATATTAGAAAATATACTTTTATATAACTTTACTTTAAGCTTAGTCTTTAGCGCTGTATAAATAAAGTAAAAGAATAGTAAAGAGCTAATTAGCTTATATAAAGACTTATTGCTAAAAAACTTAAGAAAGGCGTTATTAATAGATATAAGTAAGGATACCTACACACCTACTTTTAGTAGTAGGGCTATATTGTTGCTAGAGATTAACTTTTCTAGGCTTATTATATAATTAACTTTAAAGCAGTTAAATAATGTAAACATAATCTTTAATACTACTAAAAAGAATATATTGTTTCTAGTCTAAACTTTGTCTAGTTAATTAATAGATACTATAAACTCTGCCTGTACAGAATTAAAATATATGCTTATCTTAACGCATATTCTAGATATATTGTTTAGATATATGTAAGAATATTAGCTTTAACTACTATTAGCTATGCTTATTAATTCTTTTACGCCTTAGAGGAAGTTTAGCTATAGCCACACTTTATATAATTAGATAAGAGAGTTAAGACAGTAATGCTAGCAGACGCTTATTACAAGCTGTAGATGTTATATAAACTAGACCTTAGGTTTTAGGACTGCTATTTATATAGCATAAGTACATTAAACTAGTGTATTAAAGCATAGTAGAGTTAGCTTTTAAAAAGGATTATTTTTTACTAGTAAGTAAGTCTCTTATACACAGCGCTTTATATTACCTAACTTAATATAGAATTACTTTATAAGCCTTTATACGTAGGGGTAGTTCTTAAAGGATAATTTAGTAGACTAGATAAGTCTATATGCAGTATATATTTTAATTCTATAAGAAGAGCTTTACAACTTTATATAACTCTAGAATTCCTACTTTATTTAGAAGTAGCTAAATTAGTAAAACACTATTATTAGAAAGCTATTTATGCTTTATTACTATCTAGAAAGCTATATCTAGAACTAGAGTGTATCCTTTAATAGTAACTAGCTTTGTATAATAAAGAAAAGCGTTAGTAAATAAAAAATTAATAAATATTTTCTCTCTAACACCTTTAACTAGTGTCTAGGTGTGTTTAAGTCTATTAGATTTAATAGTGCAACTGTAGCACAGTCTCTTTTTATTAAGCATATAACACTTTATCTAGAAGTTTACCTCCACTTATAGAGACAGACGCAATTTTATATAGAGAATTAGTTTTAGCTGCAGCTCTCTCTTTTCTTAGCTTTAGTAAGTGCAAGAAGTTAGTAAGTAAGTACTTTATATAATAAGTATTTAAAAAACTAAGTAAATATAGCCTAACTTTAAAGTAGTTTAATAAGTAGACCTTAAAACTAACATATAAGACTTAGAAATATTAATAGATCTAGATATAGTATAGTTCTTTTACTTATATATAATAACTAAGCTATTTACACTATATTATGCTGTATAAATATTATTATCTTTTATAGTATAAGTTTTGTCTCTCCTTTAGTCTTTTCTTTTGTTATATAATATAAGTACACTACCTCTAAAATACTGCTTAGAAATAGAAGAGCTTTATTCTTAGCTTTTTTTTTTTTTTACTTTTTATTTAGCTTGTTGTGCTTCTTTTTAGCTATTGCCTAGTACATAAAAAGTAAGAAATAAAAATGTTATTATTTTAGACAACACTTTAGACGCTAAAAAAGCTGTCTTTATTTTATTTACTAAAGCTACAGGTTATATAATTACAGAAAGTGTATAATAATAATTAATCTAAAAGACTACCTAAGCTACAGCTTGCTAGTCTTCTAGCTTTCTAGTTCTTCTACATGTCTATCTTATATAATATAAGATTATTAATAAAGGTACTTAAATAAAAAATAGGTTTATAGACTATAATATTTTTTATATGTGTTATACTTTTTTTATCTTTTCTAAACTAATAAAAAAATAGAAAAGATTTAACTCTAAATCTTAAACACTATAATTAAGGGGCCTAGTAACTTACTTAAAACACACCTTCTTCTAAAGATTATACAATATAATGTAAACAACATCTCTAATAATCCTCTATACATTACTATAGACATTAGAAAAGATAGTGTTATAGATTTTCTAAAAAGTGCTAGTAAGCTCTATATAATAAAAGAGCTTTTAAAGAGTAGATTTTTTAAAAAAATTAACTCTAAAATAACTATAATATACTTTGTGCTTAAGCAGCACCTAGATAAGTAGTTATTATATAGTAAAAATTTAAAATTATTTTTTATTAAAATAAAATTACGCTTAAAAAAAGCTGCTAAAAAAAAAAAAAAGTGTAAAAAAAAACTTTTTATAGATTAAATAAAAGTTAAAAACACTAAAGCTATAACACTATATAAAGAAAAAGCCCTTATATAAAAAAAAGTATGTAATATTCTAAGTATTAAATATTTAAAAAGCTTACTCTCTTAAACTTCTAAATCTTAACATTGTAGATAAGAAGAATTTAGTACTATATAGACTTTGCTTAAAGCGTTAGAAAATAAACATTATATAAAATTAAATTACCTTTCTAGCCTTTTTTAGCTTACATATAGTCCTTTATAATTTTTTATTATTATGTTACTACTAGTTATTTTCTATAGTCTTCTGTAGCATTAAATAAGATATTATTATATAATAGGCATTCTCTTTAAATATGTAAATATTAAATGTTTACTATTACTGCTTGTAGCATTCTACAGTGTAGTAAGGCCTTATCTAACTGTTTACATCTACTACATAAGCACTTTTTGTTATTTTACAGTAAGCTAAGTAATTAGGCAGGGCAGTTAAAGGCGTAGAGTAGGCATTACAAAGAAAGTACTGCTTATATAGGTGCATATAGACTACTTTTACTTAACTTTCTCTTTTTTATTTTTTCTTAACTTTATGTATAATAACCTAAGGTAATATCTCTTTTTATAAGATTTTTTTATTATATAATTAGTGTTAAGCTTTACTTTTTACTAAATATAGCTAAATATATTTTTTAACAACGCCTTTTTTAATAACTAAACTATTAGCCCTTCTCTAGCTTTTATAACAAGCTATGTTTAAGCTTATGTAGCTATCTTTGCCTAAGTAGATGCCTGCCTTTAAATAAACGCCCTTATAAACATTTAGATTCTTATTTTTACTTTTAGCAGTGCTAATCCTTCTTCTATAACCTTTCTACACTAGGGCATGTAGTATAAGAAGGTTAACATTTTTAATCTAGTTATTGCCTAGTACCTTTTATAAGTCTTTTACTTTACTATATAAACCCTTTTTTTTATAATAATTTAAAGTATATGCTTACTTTCTTTTAGAGTGTAAAGATTACTTAGGCTACTAATTTTCTTATCTATATATTTAGCATTTTTCTATATAACGCCCTTAATACTCCTCTTGTTACCTGCTGTAGCACTATTCTAGC